AATATTATTACTTACCTATAAGGCCCTTAATGGTTTAGCTCCTGCCTACCTAACTAGTCTTCTACCACGCTGCAATCCATCACACTCCCTAAGGTCGCAAAACTCTGGACTTTTGGTAGTACCTAGGATAGCAAAGTCAACCCCAAATTCAGCACAAATCAGCACAAACCCCAGCACAAGCAAAACAAATTTAGCAGCCTCGTCTCTGATTGGCTGGAATTATGGCATATTGTAACGCTGGGTTATGTTGAGCAAGCCAGCCGTTGGCATTTAGAGAGCACTGAGGGCGGGCATCAAGGGAGCAAGCTAGTGAAACGTTGCACCCGCAAAAGAGAAGGTCTGCACACATCCAAAAACTTATTTTAAATGCAAAATTGATTTTTGTGTTCTCTAAATACTTTCTTCTTTGCGAGACAAACATTTTCTCCACAAAACACTTTTGCACGCTCAAAATATGATCTTTCGTGTGCAAAATTGTGGCAGAGATGTAATCCCATAGAATGACAGATGCTGAAAGACATTAGGAGGGATTCAAATACCTTCACATTATATGTTGTAAGGTAGTAAAGGTCTGGAAATGTAAATGAGCATTTGGTGTGGTTTTTAGAGATAGTTTCTCCATTGTATGTGATTTCAGCCATGAATGTTCCTTTTTCTCCATTCCAGACTATCTTTGTTCCCTTGTTTTCACATATTATATCAAGAGAATTGTGAAAAGGGTGTGTTACTTCAATGACTGATTTGAAATCGGGCTCTATCAAACAGAATGAAACAAAACATAATTTAGACACACAATGGCATATAATTTACATACAATTAGCATTTAATTGCAACATTTATGAAAATTACATTTAGCAGTAAACTGTTAATTGATTGTGAAGATTACATTATTAACAATACACATTATAGATAGAAAATGCATGGGGTGGAGAAAAGTTCAAAGCTGATAAGGACAAAATTTAATATTCAGTAAATAACCGCAAAATGAAGAATGACAGAGAAAATGGGACAGAAAAACAAGCACATAAAAAACACTAAAAGGACTGTATTTGGGCAAATCTCTTTCCAGCAAAATGTAGATCAAGTAATACAATTTAAATCAAGATTGTCTGTGGGAAAAATATCGAAAAAATTACTTACTGGTAGAAAGTGTTGCATTCATACCGGAGAACAGTAAATATGTTTTACTTTTGAATTCTGCATAAATACTGCATTCATAGCTTTCATATGGCATTAAGTTTGTAATACTGCAGTCTGTGCCAATGCCATTTTTGTGTTTTGTACAGTTTCCATCTGAAAGGCAAAACATACCTGAATAAGGCATAAAACATCTACTATGTCTACTAATATCATAAAAGAACTTGAAGCATTTTTACAGAAAAAGTATAGCGGACATGTTTCAGTGATGCTATATTGGCAAAACAGCAGGAAAATATGAGCTCTTACGATGACTTTTATAGAATTTGCAGCTGACTGAATAACTGTCCCATGTAATGCCTGAGCATTTATCTTCATCAAGTGAATTCCAGGATATTTCAAAAGAGTCTGTGGTTGTGTTCTTAAATCGTCCATTCTTTTGCCAATCTGTATGAAAGAAAAATAGAAATCACTAACAATGCAAAACAAATCTTTGCAATTCATAGACGATTGTACACAAGGCTCTTTAAACACAAACTATTTTACAGTGGTCTTATTTGGATTGCTCAGTTACACTTGTCAGCGTATTAGATAACATATTAAATAACTAATATCACCTTTTGTTAAAAAATAGCATCTTTAGGATATAACAAACAAACAAACAAACAAACAGACAGACAGACAAAAAAAACACACTAAAATCATAACTTTTAATTAATAGAATTGACAAATTGAGACAAATGAAAGGGACGAAACCAAAGATGTTGTTATAATATAATGATGAAAACCTTTTCATTGTTTAATATTATATTATACAATTTAATGTAAAGACATTCATATTGCTTTAAATGCACCTTAAAAGTCTAAATACTTGTTAGGCTCAATGTATTGTAATAGGAACTCACCGCAATTTATTTTAAAGGAGAGCTCATTACTCTTGATGGACTGATTCTCATAAGGATATACTCCAATGCAGGAATACAGTGTGTCTGGTAATAATGACACTGAGGCATTTAAACCATAAATTGTGCCATTTTCTGACAAATAAAGAAGAGAAAACTCATTCATCATCTGCTTGTCTGTTTAATGTAAATATAGTATGACTACATAATAAAAAATATGCATTATGAATTCACAGTGCCATCAAAACATTTCCATTACTTACTGTTCTCATCATTGGTGCAATTGATGTTAAGCATAGCATTACATTGTGTTGGTTTATTTGTCCATTCAAACTTAGAGGGAATAGTTTTTTTGAAGGTTATATTAGGCTTGACTGAAACAGAAACATTCAGATGATATATATATATATATATATATATACGTATATAAAAAAAAATTAATGTCGAAAACTAAATTGAATAACAGTACATCTGTTGAATTGATTAAAACCAACCTGTGGGCATGAGGACATTCATTGTGTAGTTACATTTGTCCAGTTTAATGGTGTGTGTGGATGTGCAAGAGTTTTGCTCAGTTATTTCAACACATTCAGTGAGATTCCATTTAATACCATTGAATTCTCCTTTCAAACACACTTTCTTCTCAGTCACATTTGTCACAACAGTTTTTGGAACAGTTTCTCCGTTTTCTGTACAAAAATTAAGAGACGCATTACATCACACTATCTATTCAGCAACATAATACAAATAGACAGTTCAATAACCTGACATATATGAATTGTTATCATTCTCTATTCTGTCAAAATAAATAATACAAAGTCCCCAAAGAGTATTTGGACACTTAAAAATCACATTTAAAAATGAATATCATTGCACTATGTAACAAAATATCAAACTGTTAAGTGTGAACAAATTGGACATTTTTGAGTGTGACTTAAGCATCTAAATACTATTTGAGGTCACTGTAAAGTATGTCCAATCTGAGTCTAGTTTAATATGTTCTAATTCATGCAAAAATATTCTGCCTGGGTAAAACTTACCACTAGAAATAAAAGTCTCGCTTCCATTGGGTTTGCAGCCATCCACACTGATGTTGTACACAGTGCATGGTTTTAACCATTCAAACAGTATTTTAAAGGCAGTTTGGTTAGATATTTCCTGGACACGGATCTCATTGTGATTCTCCTTTATCCTGATTGTGTAGTTTTGTTTCTCGAAGTCTTTGATATTCACCACAGGGGCTGTTGTGTTGTTCTCCCTCTCCATAAGGCTGTACTGACCTGTGTGAAAGTGCATATGAACATTCACAAATTTATAAAAAGCAAAACTATGTCTTGAACAAAACAACCAAAGTTGACTTCACACAACAGGTGTAATAAACAAATACTCACAAGGGAATTTTGTGGCACCTGAGAAAAGAACATGTAAAAATGTTAATAACCATAAATCAAGCATTTTTTGTCCCAATAAACATTAATCATTTGTTCAGAGAGCACAAACAGTGTGGTGTTACCCGTGATGTTGGTGAATGCGTGTAAGATTGAGCTGGGGTGCGTGGAGGTGAGAGGTGTGATGGTGGTGTTTGGAGGTGAGGTGGTGTCATTTCTTTCACCTGGTTGAGTTGCTAGTTGACAACAGAGGAGTTAAACATGACTGACCACACTACAGATGTACTGCAAAGCTCAACTGATGAATCAATAACGCATTTCAAGAGGCAAATCATTACCTCGACCTGGTGATAGTGGAGTATATTATATTGAGCATCACTTTATGTAATTTACAAACATATTAAATATTGTACTAATATTAGTATTAGCCATGGTAAATTACACAATTACAAATTTGCACTAAAATACCAATACCACAATAAAGTGAAGGTGCACAACCTCTGACGTCAACAATAACATTTATGGGAGGTAGAAGTTGAAAAACTGTTTGATATTAGTGAAACATTTTTTAATGTTTAAAAATAAATATTAAAAAATATGTTACAAATTAACATTAAAATTTATAATATAATTATTAACAGAATAATTAACATACCAAATAATAGACCTTTTACTTCATTTTACACTCTTTTTTTAATTTGAAAACAACATAACAATAAACACTACATCTCTACAAAATTGCCACATTTTTAAACGGGACTGTAAAAAGATTTAGTCCAGTACAGAATATACGTTTGTTTGAAGACTACTGGCACACCTGCTATATTCACCTACAAGTAACCTGAGAGCTTCATTACCTGATATAGCTGCAGACTGTGTGGTTGAAATGTTTTGTGGTGCAGTGATTAGAAGAGAGATGTCTGTTTTTGTAGCATTTCCTAGGACAGATGTCAACTTAGATATGATGTCAGATATGTAAAATTGTTTGCTTGGGTCTCTCTCATGCTTAAAATAAAATAAGACCAGATTAAATAAAAAGCTCAGTGATGGTGTGCTCATAGCACAGCATGATGGGAAGATGGAGGTCAGAGTGAGTGAGAGTATAATAATGCAGGAGTGTGAGTTTGATGTCAGCTTTACCTTCGGAGGTATCTGCAGATGTGTTTGGTGAAGTGGTGGGAGTGGAGAGATTTGTTTGAGGGTCTGTAATGATGGATAGACAGCATGAAGAAATATGTAAACATATCAAGTTTTCACTGATATATATTTTCTGACCGACATGTTCAAATCAGGAACAGCATAACAGAAATAGAGTGACACTTACCAGCACCATTTGTTTTAATTGATAAGACTTTGCTGTTTTAATGCATTATTATGTGGCTATATTAATTTTATTATTGGCATTTAGCAATGTTTTTCTGCTGTTAGAACAGACATGTGGTCCAAAGGGTGATGACTACAAACTGCTGAAACATGGTAAGTATTGTAACAGCTATTTCAACAAATACTCTAAAGTAATGGCAGAAGTAATGATGCTGTGATCAATGATGCCCATTTGATTTGTTAAAAATTCAGTTTGTTATAGATTACATTAAAATGACTTACATACAACTTTTCTATGATACAAATGCATTCAGAAACGAATATGTTTGATAGCTGGAAGACTACCTACATCTATTCACCTACAAGCTACTAGTAACCTGTGCTGTTGATAGAATGTTCTAACTCTTTGTCTACAAACTAAGTCTAAAAAAAAATTAAGAAAACTATCGCAAAAAGACCAAAGAAAAAAGGTTACAACAGTATAACAGGCATTATTAAAATCACATTTCATATAAAATAGTAAAAAAAAATAATAAATTATTATTTTAGCACAGGATCAAGATTTTTATTTGTTATTTATTTATTTTTTAAAGATATTTAGAATGAAGAAAATTCCATATTGGTAAATTAATAATAATAATAAAAAAAACAAAAACAAAATTGAATGTTAAATACACTGTTACCTGCAGTGGTGCTGGTGTTTTGTTGTTGCGAGGTGGTGCGTGTGGGTAAGATTGATGTGCAATTCAGGCTTTTACATTCAGAACCATTTCCTAAAAGATAATGGTTATTTGATCAAATAAAATGTTTGCAGTATCTGGTCCCACTTTATATTTGAAAAAACACTAATTGTTAGGTACAATGTACTTATCGTGCTCATATTGTATTGCAAAACACTTTTGCTGCTGTTGAGGTGGGACACGGGTCAGGTTAGGAACAGGTTTCACATATTAATTAAATATGTAATTACATGCAGGTACTTTTAAATATAAGTAAAACATGTACTGTATGTATACAATAAGTGCATTGCATCAAATGATTAATTTAAATGTGAGCACATAGTAGTTATTTACACTTAATATAAATTGGGCCCGTATACACTCTTAAAAATAAAGGTGTGAGAGTATATAGTCCTGTATGAGAAGGTTGGATGTCAGTGACCCAACATAATACCAGATTTTTGTATTGTTCAAAAAAAAAAAAAGGATTATTATTACCATAAAATGTGTAAGCTCAAAAATATGCTAATTTATTTACATGCTATAGACTGAAGAAAAACTGATAAACTGGTAAATTATACAAAGCATTAAATATAATGTTAATTGCACAGTTACCTGCAGTGGGGCTGGTGTTTTGTTGTTGCATGGTGTGTGCGGGTGAGATTGTTGTACTTGTCTGAGTTTCTTTCTGATTAGAAGTGCTCCCTATATGATGAGTATTTGATCAAATCAAATGTTTATCTTACACTTTTATCACAGATATGAAAAAAAAAACATGAAACATGAGGTTAAATACACAGTTACCTGCAGTGGGGCTGGTGTTTTGTTGTTGCATGGTGTGTGCGGGTGAGACTATTGTGTTTGTCTGAGTTTCTTTATGATTAGAAGTGCTCCCTATATGATAATTAGTATTTGGTCAAATAAAACGCTTATCTTATAAACCCTTTTTGGTCACACTTTAGTTTGGGAATCAATTCTAACTATTAACTAACTATTAACTACGACTTTTGCCTCAAAAAACTCCTATTGGCTGCTTATTAATAGTTAGCAAGGTAGTTGTAAAGTTTAGGTATGGGGTTGGATTAAGGTATCTAAAATATGGCCATACAGAATAAAGTATTAATATGTGCCTTATAAGTACTAATAAACAGCCAATATGTTAGTAACATGCAAACTAATAAGCAACTAGTTAATAGTGAGAATCGGACCATATACTAAATTGTTACCTTTTTTTAAACAGATGTGGGAGAAAAAAAACATGAAATATGATGTTAAATACTTCAATATAAATATGAGTGAATGTTTAAAATCTATTTTTTATAGTTGATTTTAATTCATTGATATTTAACAGTAAATAATGTATTAGCATTAGCCATATTAAATGATATGAATATTGCAAAATGAGGTTTTGCAATGACATTTTAAAAAATAATCTTCAAAAACTTGTGATTGACTATAGCACTGGCATTCTGAGAGTATGAAAAAAAGGATAATCAGTACTTTTGTCATGTGATTTTGGGGTTTCTGGAGCTGTTTATGTGGGTGAGGAGCATTAATGCTAAAGGGAAAAGCTAGTTCATTATGGGTAGTCCAGTATGGAATATACAATTGCTGGGAGACCAACTCCAGTGCATACAAAACCAACCTTTACAGACATGATATTTGCTTATCTTATGTACAGTATTACTTGCAACAGTAGCCTAAAATAATGACTACCTGGTCTCATGGCAAAAACGTACTTGGGGGCACTTTTTTCACAATTACTTGAAAAATATTATGACTTCAAAACAATTTTAATATGGTGGGAGATTTGAAAACTGATGCTTTTAAATGTTTGCATCACACATATCCAGCTTCATATCTATGGGTTTATATAAACGGTAGGTTTGTTCGGTATAGCTCACGGAGTACGGAGACGTACTTGAGAGGTGAGGAGCTCCGGTTCGATTCCCGTGTAAACAAAACAGTTTAAATATTCATATAAGTTAGTTCAAATGGCACGGTTGCATCAACAAATGCATTTTTATATCAGTTTTGCATTTGTTAACACTATCGGGTAGGTTTAGGGTTGGGTTTGGTGTAGGGCATATTTCCAACATGATAGAGCATTAACTTTTAGCGACAGTCCCCGGATATTTGAATTCTGAACTGCCAAAATCCGTACCTGAAGCAATGTAATAAAACACAGCAATACCTAGGCCTATATTAACGTAATAAAAACGTGCCAGGGTTCACGTATTGAACCCGTGTTTTAGCGCCACTCAGTGGATATTCCTTTTTGAAACTGCGGCGAAACGTGCAGTAAGGTACATAAAAACGATGTTGCAGAAAAGTACCCAGAGGTACGTATTTTTATGAGACCAGGTTGAATAATGATTTGGCTATTGGTTGATAATATTTTTGCTGCCTGTATGTATGCCTCATATTTATTTATCATGTGACCTACAGTAGATAACATTTTATGACAAGTTATGACATTTTGATGAAAGATTATCAAGGCATGTACTTATTTCCTTTCAGGAGAGCATACACTGACAAATTGTGTATAATAGGACCAGGATTGTGAACTAATAAAATACTAATTGTCTATTTTGGTTTCATGTTCATTTTAAATGTTCAAAATTAAGAAAAAAAAGGCCAAAATGTTACAAAACTACACGTTACATTTTGGAACTAACTAACTAAATGAGTGCATAATTGCAGCACAGGAACTGGATCTTTTTTTTTTTTATGTTATATATGTTATATTAGTAACTATATTGCAAGATTTTTAAATGTGAAGCCTGCTGTAGCCTAAAAGGGCTTGCTTGGGTCTCAACAAACAAACAAATAACACCTCTTGCTCAGTGATGGTATGCTCGTAGCACAGCGTGATGGGAAGCTGGAGGTCAGAGTGTGAGAGATTGTGCGTGAGAGTATAATAATGCAGGAGTGTGAGTTTAATGTCAGCTTTACCTTCGGAGGTATCTGCAGATGTGTTTGGTGAAGTGGTGGGAGGGGAGAGATTTGTTTGAGGGTCTGTCATGATGGATCGACAGCATGAAGAAATATGTAAACATATCAAGTTTTCACTGATATATATTTTCTGACCGATATGTTCAAATCAGGAACAGCATAACAGAAATAGAGTGACACTTACCAGCACTGTTGCCTGCACCTGTGGAAAGTGTGAGATAAAACCACATTAATTACCTTCATCAGAATTACATTATGCAACTGAACCTTTAATCCGAGTCAATGGTTTTTGAGACAAAAGGAAGTGTTTTCTCTTGTTTGTTTGTTTTTTGTGCTTTTTTTAAGACTTTGCTATCCTAACTATACATGATTATGTGGCTAGCTTAATTTTATTACTGAAATTTAGCAATGTTTTTTCGCAGTCAGAACAGACATGTGATCCATAGTTGAAAACCACTTTTACAGAGGAATGTGTATATATATGAGAAAATGACAGATAGAGAACAGATATATGATGTTTAAGAATTTTTAGAAATGGGATTTTGAGAATACAAGAAAACTATTATTAAAATGTCCTATTAAAATAACAATAACATTAATATTAATACAACTCATACTTACTCATTTACAAATAACCTGAGCACCTCATTACCTGGTTGAGATGAAGACTGTGTGGTATGTTGTTGAAAGCTGAGTGCAGGAGTTTTCTGTGTTGTTTTGAGCTCTGTTCCCAGAAAAACACACTCATATAAAATAACTAATCTTAAATGTTTTTATAATGGTGACAACTACAAACAGCTAAAACTTTGTACTGTAAAGCTATTTCAAATACTCTCAAGTAATGATGCCGTGATCAATGATGCTAATTTGTTTTGTCCAGACCTATTTGTGAAGTTACAAAAAATGTTGTTCTTGATTATATTAAAAAAATAATTTTCTATAATGCAAATGTTTTCAGAAACGAATGAATAGGATTGATTATTGGAAGACGAGTTACATCTATGCACCTACAAGTGATCCAAGCACATTAACTGGTTCTGATGACTGTGTGGTTAAACTGTGTTGTTGCGGGATGCGTGTGGGAATGCTGTGTATGTTGGCATCTGTTCACAGGATAGGGGGTAACATTATTAATTTAAAAGAACTAAACTTTACAGGCTTTAAAGTCAACATGAAATGCCATTCACTTTTTGAATTGTTTGCAACAGTAGTCTAAAATAATGCCTTGGCTATTGGTTAATATTATTTTGCTCCCCATATGCGTGACTCATATCTATTTATCATGTGACCTAGATGACACCAGCCAAAAAGAAAAGTCAAAAGTTGAAGAAATGGAAAAAGTTGACTTTTTGAAAAACAATAGGAAAAACCTAATATATTAATATTAGTAACACAATAGAAATATAACACTGCTCATGACACAACTAATCCATGGCTGCAGCACTGATGATGTGATTTTGAAGGAGAGCTTGCAGTGCAGCATGATGGGAGGATGGAGGTCAGAGGTTATGAGTGGGACAGATTGATTGAGAGAGATATAATGCTGGAGTGTGTGTCTGCTGTGGTGATGCGTGTTGTTGTGGTTACCTTTAATGGGAGGTGAGGCAGAGGTAAGAGAAGTGGGTTGCGTGGGATTGATGGATTGGTCAGCAGAATTGCCACCTAAGTGACATGATCATATAGTTTAAACTGGATCCAAAAACAGTCTATATGTATAAAGTTGACAATTAACAAACCAAAAGCAGCACTAACCACTAAAAAGCTATATATATCTTTGTAAAACAACATCTGTTTCAAAGTAAAGTATTTACCTACCCATATACAGTATATATATATATATATATATATATATATACACACACACACACACACACACACGACAGTTTTGATTACCTATGATTTTTTTTAAAGAAATTCAAGTAACACTTAACAATAAGGTTTCATTTGTTAATTGTTAGTTACCTACATTTGTTAACATGAACTAGCAATGAAATACTTCTAAATAGTGTATTACTGAAATACCCATATACCCAAATATATACTGAATGCTGAAATATTCACAATGCAAGCGGGAGAAGTCTCATATTACGGCCATCACGATCGCAGATGACAACATCCCGGATCAACACTGTTCATGTATCGCAGGGTACGATTAAATTAATGTACATTTAACCAGTTTAATATGGAGAGGCACTGAAATATAGACCTTCGTTTATGTGTTTTTGCCCTACACTGTACATGATGTGAGAACAGTTCGCTATTTAGGTTTGTAATAGCATCGTCTCACTAACTTTAACGTTAGCTAGTTTTAGCCAGAGATACTTTGCTGAAGCACAAGATGACATTAATGTTCTGCTTGAGCAGATGGAAATTGTAACTTAATGAGTATGGAGCTTATAATATGACAAAACTAATTGAATTTGTATAGTGTAAATTTGAATTATTGACAAGTGTCTTCTAACAAAACTGAATATTTTGTGGCATTTAACATAATTCTGAATTTGATTTTTTTTTTACTTGAATATTAAACATTTGAAATTTAACACAACTGAATTTTTTTATGGCAGAGTTTTATAGACGTATTTTCAAACAGCAATTTATTTTGTTCTGAAATCTTAGACTGCAAATATCCAGTTTTTAAAAATACAGCTTCAAGTTTTCAAGATGAAGAGGAAATTCGGAACATCAAATTCAATATTCTACAATTCAATACGCAGAAATTCAGCTCGTAGAGAAAGTAGTTCAGAGGTAATCCACAGGGAAGTGTAGATGATCTCCGAAAAGTCAAACGAAGCATTTTGGCCAATTAGTAGTTTTCTGGCGTGAGCGTGTGGTTCAAGATCTATTTGTTCATGAATCGCCCAGAGGTAGCCTAAGTGATTCACATTTATGGTTTTATACTTATATGTCAGGTTAGCATTCTCAGCATGTGAAACATTTGTCTAAGCGGTCTCTGGTGTTTGTTTAAAGTATATTTGGTGTGCAAGTGATTAGCATGCCACCGTGTCTACACATGATGCGAGCGAAAGCAAAAAAGACAGTAGAGCCCATTGACTATAATCAGTGATATATATTCATTATTATCATATATAATCAGTGATATATATTCATTATTTTTTTTTTTAATTTTGAATGGGGGTGCTAGCCCCTAGTGCCGCCCAGTAAAGACTATATTATAGTGACATACAGGAGTCATACACTAGGTGCGCATGTGTCCGTTATTATTGATGTGCAAACAAACCTATCTGCACTCATGGCGCATGGATCGCTATAACATCATATTTCTGCTTGAACACAGTTCTGTATATTCATGTAGTTGTCAAAATTAATGTACAGAAAGTGTTTTATAACAGATGCTCGCTGAAGAAGCATGTTTTGGAGACGTTTCTGAGGATCAGTTATGTACATATGGGCATCAAACGCTTCAAATTCGCTTATTCTGACAGAGGAACTATTCACTGATGACATCGAGCCACCTTCCGATCGATGAGTTTCCACAAATTCAGAATGGTTTCATTTTTCATTTGTATTTTGGTGCGTTTAGTTATTCTGCATGGATCTGTGTGTGCAGTCCTTTGGCATCTCCCTGTGGTCTTGTTTGGTATGGCAGGTTGACTTGTGTAAAAAGTAAAAAAAAAAATACAAATACAGTGTAGCAATGACAATATCTTCAATTATTTACAAATAATAATTTGCTTAGTAAAAATTAATTATTTAAAATAAATGAGTTCCCTGACGACTAAATTGCTCAGTTTATTAAAAACAAACACATTTATTTGTTATAAAAACTAATCAATTATTGCACACCAAAAAACACTCTTGCATTATATTCAGCATCTCTTTTCTCTGAAACCCAAAACAGGCTCCATGTAAAACTGCCGGCTTTGGTCAGAAAGGGGAAGGGAGTTACAAGCAGTGGTCTGTATGTGGCGCGGCCTGGCTGCCATGGAAACGCAGCGTGCACACAAACTATTTCAGGTTCTCAACCACAGCTTCCTGTAGCTTGACAAAACCCTTCCCCCTTCTCAAGGCTCTGGTACTTTGCTTTCATTTCTTTTGTTCGGCTCAGTATACACTGTGTACCTGTGGTTCTCGCAAATGTACGACCATATAACTCATACACAGTACGTGTGCGGAAGGGGGAGTGGTCATATGTACTTCTGTGGGTGGGGGTTGATAATTATAGATTATAGACTGTAGATATGCAAATTATATCTATGCAACTCTTCTAAATCTTCTACATGAGAGCTTCGACTACAACTAGAAGACTGTAAATCTAAACTGTAAAGTGTAGACTACTAGTCTTACACAGTGTCAAGATAAGGAAAGATTTGGTATTTTTTGACACTAAGATAGCTAAGATGCATCAGTTTTATAGATCTGAAAATCTCATATGTTTCCTTAAATTTTGATTTTGGATTACTGTAGTTTTAGCTCAGAGTGGCAGTACTTTTCACTTTTTTGTCTTTGCCGGATGTGGTTTTGCATGACTTCACAACTTGAAGTGCATGCATCTTGAGCGTAGCTGTTTTAGCAGGTCCACCCATTACATGGAACATGACAAAATGAGAAAAATGACTTTAAACCTCCAGTTTGAACTAGTTTTCTTGTCATTTTGAGAGATTTGCTTTCAAAACATGATATTTTAATTTGACTGTCTTGTCACAGTAATCGCAATGAGGTTCGCATAAAACATCAATCTCCAGCAAGTTGATATGCAACCTGTTTTTAAAGTTTGATCTAAACCGCCAAACTGTGCTATATTCACAAACATTGGCTATTAAAACAATGCATATTACATATTCAGTAATAATGCATTGTAATATAATGCACTGCTTTTAAAACAACAATTAAAGGCTCACATTTAGACTCACATTAGACATTTACACTAAAAGTATAAATAATTCCTTGAAAACTACTTTCAAATTGTTTCCCCAACATTGCAAAAGATGTTTTCAGCATTATTTGGTTTAATAATTTTAGCTTGTTACAATATATTGTGTCACTTCTAATCAGTTTCGGAGTGTAAACTTGATTTTCTTTATTCAAAGTGGTTAAAAGTGTGTATCAAACAAAAAAATGTTGAATTGAAAAAAAAGATTGAATTGACTATGGCTCTACTACTTAAAAAAAGGCAGTAAGTTTACTATTATTAGTATGAGTACAAGTTATCATAATTTTTTTTCTTCCCCACAAAATCCCAAAGACAAAAAACAGAATCATTAAAAACGATTTAAAGGTCATGAAGCTACACGAAAACACCATGAAAGTCCTTACTAGCTCTTTCCTGACACATCAGACTTAAGTTTTACTTTACTATTTTTACTTTAACACCAAAGTTGTGACATTTATCTCCCATCTTTAAAAACACAGAAAGATTTGCAGATAATTTGAGGGCGAGTTAAAGGAACATTCCGGTAAAAAAAAAAAGAAGTATATTAATTCAACTTTATAATCTTCTTTTCTGAATAATTGTTAGATTGTAAAAAAAAAAAAAAACGGTCCCACTTTTTTTTTGTCTCCTGACTAATGAAGCCAAAGCAGTCGCCCACAACCAAAAATAATGCACAGTGGGTCAATGTAATGTGACAAAGGCCTAGATATATACCGCAGAGTTCATGTATGTACAGTTTTCATGACTTAAATGGAAGCCTTTCACGGCTTATTCTTGAGATGCAGACATGAAATCAACCAAGACTTGACTTAAAATGAATTGTTTACGTACAACAAACACTGATAATGATTTTAAAAATCAGCTTATTATAAAAATTGATGCAATAAAACCAGGTTTTGATGATAAAGTGCAAGTTTTAGAAATTGGAGTTCTTTTAATGCGAGACGCTGAGGAGGAAATGCTGAAACAATTATTTAATTGTTACCTCAATGGTTTCACACACATTGTGCAGTTGATACCTTTAAAAGAGTGTTTTAGCTGATTTGACACTTGAAATTACTTTTGTCAGTGTAACCTAATCGAGTCAGGTTGATTTGGTCACATTCCAAATAATGTTCTTTTTTAGCAACGTCATATGACCCCTTTAATGTACAGTACATGCCAATGTACCTAGTGATCAGAAGGCGGTACTTGAACTATTTGTTTTATTTTTTCATTTCTTTATTTCTTTATTTTAAATTTCATGTTTTTAAGAAGTACAAATATTAAACATAATAAAAAATTTTAGTAGATTAGTAAATTCCATGTTATTGAAAATATTAAAAAATATATTACAAACAATTCTAAAATGTACATATATTACATTAAAATATATTATATTAAAAATTATATTATATTCTATTATTAATCATGCAAAAATAGACGTTTCAGCTGCTGATGCAATAGCCTGATGCAATTTTCCCACAAAGAACTCCAAAGAACTCAAGTCAAGAACATCAAAAATCGTTCTTCACAAGAAGAGCCCAAGCACCTTTACTTTTAAGACAACCGAACAGCACTCAGTAATAACAAAGAGATCATCAACAGCATCCATCAGAATGTGTCAGGTGAAAGCAGGGATGATTGATTGACAGCTCGGCCTCTGCACCGAGCTCAAGTCTAGCATAACCTCGAGCGAGTTTGAGGGGACACACCCAAACCAGCCTAATCT